ATGTATTCGCTTCCTTATTTTTTCTTTTTTTCGGTTTGGTAGACATGTCCTTCACATAGATAACCTGTGCCACATCATTGGCTAGGACGAACGGTTCGTCAGTGTATCCAAGATTGTTCAGATCCACTGTTGTCATTCCGTACTGTGGGTCTACCTGTACCCCGCCTCCTGATAGATTGACCCATTTGCATTTAAACAAAGGGACCTTAAAATCTACTCCGTACTCAAGTTCCCATATGTCCACTATGTAACCATAATATGTGTCCTTTTCCCCTCTCGGTTGCTGCATCAAAGCGGACACTGCTGTTTTGGTTGGTCCTCTTTTGATCTTGGGCGATCGTGTAAAATGTATTCCCATTTATCTCGTATCCTTTGTAAGTCATTACAGTCGAAGATGGTCCCTTGGACAACGAGTACAGCTCATCACAAACAATGTTGTCACCTCTAAGACGTGTTTCCAACCAACTTCTGAAAGTCCTGATGTGTTCACATGTAATCCAGTCGTCGCACTGCTCCGGGTGTTTGGAGCGCAGACTGTTCTTGTGTTCATCGACATACGGGGGTCACCAAGGTAGAGTTCTGTAGAACTGTGCTTGAGACCAAGGATATCCGTCCCTGCATATTATTGAGTCCTCTCCAAGCGTGCCTTTTCTAGTCAAGTCTCCCCACATACCACGATTTAGGGAGACCTATCTTCTTAAGGCTAGGAATGAAGTCAACACAACACCCAATGACATCCTCTGTTTGATGGCCCATGGAGATGCTTCCTTCTGGCCTAGCGCGGTTACTGACATATTTCTTTAGGACACCCATGAACCTCTCAAAGGGATACATATTGTGTAGAAATACGGGGCCCAGAATGACAATCTCATCAACTAGATGAACTAGGACGTGCGTCATGATATTGAAGAAGGATGGTGGGAACACCAGTTCAAAACTGACAAGACATTGCACCACATCACTCCTTAGCCTTGGTATGATTTCTAGATCGATCACCTTCTGAGAGATTGCATTGAGGAATGCACATAGCTTCACAATGGCTAATCGGACGTTTTTCGGTAGAAGGCCCCTCAATGCAACCGGAAGCAGTTGCGTCATAATCACGTGGTAGTCATGAGACTTTAGGTTCCGGAACTTTTTCTCTGGCATATTTATTATTCCCTTTATATTCGACAAGAAGCCAGTCGGGACCTTCATACTAAGCAGGCATTCAAAGAAAATTTCCTTCTCTTCTTTGGTAAGAGCGTAGCTGGCAGGACCTTCATACTGCTTTGGAGGCATGCCGTCTTTTCCGTGCAAATGTTGCAGGTCCTCCCGTGCCTCAGCTGTATCTTTTGTCTTCCCATACATGCCCAAGAAGCCTAGCAGGTCATGCAAAGGTTCTTCGTCACGTGCATCACGTCGATCAAAGAGTGGACCTCTAGGTCTTTCCAGTAGGGTAGGTCCCAAAATATAGATTTCTTCTTCCACATGGGTGCGTGTTTCTCAGCGTCACTTGGAACAGCTAGTCCGCCGGGACCCTTTCCAAAGATTACGTGTAAATCATTGACCATAGCAAGTACGTGATCACCGGTACGCATGGCGGGCTTCTTCTGGTGATCTGCCTCGCCTTTGAAATGCTTGCCTTTATTTCGACATTGATGGTTGGTCGGAAGAAATCGACGATGGCCCAGGTCCACATTCTTCCTACATTTGTCCAGGTATGTACTTTCGGTGTCAGCTAAACAGTGCGTGCATGCGTGGTATCCCTTGTTTGTTTGTCCTGAAAGGTTACTGAGAGCGGGCCAATCGTTGATGGTTACAAATAGCAACACGTGCAGGTTAAATTCCTCCTGTCTGTGCTCATCCCACACGTACACCGTTTCCATTCCACATCTGTAAAAGTTCTTCAACTAATGGCCTTAGGTACACATCAATGTCGTTGCGGGGTTGCTTAGGGCCTTGGATGAGAACTGGCATCATAATGAACTTCCGCTTCATGCACATCCAAGGAGGAAGGTTATACATACATTGAGTCACGGGCCAGGTGCTGTGATTGCTGCTCTGCTCCTCGAAAGGATTAATGCCATCCGCGCTTAAACCAAACCATACATTCCTTGGGTCACGTGCAAACTCAGCCCAGTACTCTCTCTCGATTTTTCTCCACTGCGACCCGTCAGCGGATGCTCTCAACTTCCCGTCTTTCTTATGGTCCTCACTGTGCCATCGCATCAACTTGGCATGCTCTTTGTTTCTGAATAGTCGTTTCAACCGTGGTATTATAGGAGCATACCACATCACCTTCGCAGGAACTCTCTTCCTGCGGGGCTCGCCGTCAACATCACCAGGGTCATCTCGTCTGATCTTATACCGTAATGCACCGCATACTGGGCATGCGTTCAAATCCTCGTACGCACCGCGGTAGAGGATGCAATCATTAGGGCATGCATGTATCTTCTGCACCTTCAATCCTAGAGGGCATACGACCTTCTTTGTTGCGTACGTACTGTCGGGGAATTCATTATCCTTTGGAAGCTTTTTCTTCAATATTTTAAGTAGCTTCTCAATTCCTTTGTCAGGCACAGCATTCTCTGCCTTCCACTGCAGCAATTCCAGTATGGTACCCAGCTTTGTGTTGCCATCTTCGCAATTGGGGTACAACCCTTTTTTGTGATCCTCTAACATGCGATCGAACTTCAGCTTCTCCTTTTGACTTTCGCATTGCGTCCTTGCGTCGACAATGACCCGGCGGAGATCATCATCATCGGGCACATCGCCTGGTTCCTCTTGATCTTCAGCAGCTTCCTCCGTTGCAGCATCATCGGGCACGTCGTCTGGTTCCTCTTGATCTTCAGCAGCTCCCCCCGTTGCAGCATCACCGTATTCAGGGGGCACATAGTTTTCATCGTCCTGTTCTTCTTCGCTATCTTCCATCATAACCCCTATTTCTCTGTGCCTCGTCCAAATATTATAGTGTGGCATGAAACCCTTGTAAAGCAGGTGGGTGTGAAGGATTTTTCGGTCGGAGTAAGACTTCGTATTCCCACATTTAGGGCATGGACAACACATAAAACCATTCTGCTTGTTTGCCTCAACCACTTCGAGAAAATTATGCACGCCCTTAATGTACTCAGAGGTGTGTCCGTCACCATACATCCATTGTCGGTTCATCTGCGTGCATTATATATAATTATGTGTGTCAAAAGTAAGAAAATAAGACAAATATCTATCTAAAGTAAGAAAATCAAACAAGTATCTATCTAAAGTAAGCAAATCAGAAAGAAGATAAGAACAAGAGGCTCACCACGGTGGTGCCGGCGACAAGATTGGCGCGGGCGATTAACGGCGGTGAAAACGGGGACAGGGCGTGACGTACCGCTAAGTCTAGACAAATCTCGCGAAAAATGGAGCTCCGAGGTCGAGCTTCGAGAGGAGAAAGCTTAACTAGTGTGGCTCGGGCATTTCATCGAACACCTCATGTGCATAGGAGGTGAACTAGAGCACCCAAATGCCCTCCCCTCGCCGGCTTGAAAAAACAGAGCACTTTGGAGTGCTCTGCCGCGGCGATGGGTATATATATTCAAATTATTTGTCCCGGTTCGTGGCATGAACCGGGACTAAAGCCCCCCCTTCTACACCGGTTCAAGGCATGAACCGATACGAATGGCTGTGGGCCAGGAGCGCGGCCCATTAGTCCCGGTTTGTGCCTAGAACCGGGACAAATGGATCCAGACGAACCGGGAGCAATGCCCACGAGGCCCCTGCTGGCCCCCTGGGCTCATGAACCGGGTCTAATCCCCCTCATGGGTCCCGGTTCATGAAGAACCAGGACTAATGGGCTGGCCAGGCCCAAACGGAACCCTGTTTTCTACTAGTGAAACAACTGTTTTCCTGTAGTGGAAAACCATCGAAACCCTAATATTTATGTTGAATTGATTTGTCCTAATGTGGGGCATATATATAGAGACAATAAGGGGTCGAGGCTTCAAATAAAAGATAAATATGAAATAGTTTAACCATATTCGACCTCTATCTTTGAATTCAACTAGTAAAAGAGCTTCTGTGTTGCAACGGGGAGAAAAACACCACAAGCTCCTATCCCAGTAATCATGACTCAAGACCCCATTAGGTCCACGTCCTTTATATCAACACATGGCCTACCATCTGTGTTGCCACTTGTCCTTCTTCCCACCCTTGCCGACAGTGGCCCACTAAAAAAGTTGCTCTATTTAGTGACATAAGCCCTGGTGACGAAACAGGAAATGTCGCCAAAAATTATTTTCTATGATGGTCAAACCGAAGACGTGATGAACTGTGACGATGATGATAATGAACCAACTGTTGAGAAGCTGGCCTATGTGGCAAATATGATTAGATGCCTAGAAGAAAGCGGGAAGGGAAACTCTAGAACTCTGGTGACAATATGTTAACATTGTTTGACATTCAAAAAGATACTGCTAAAGGTAGATTATGTGTAATGCAGCGCACAATAAAGATTATCATTTGTAATGTAGCGCACAAAAAGAGTTCAATGTTTGTGTACCACCTTCTTTATTTTGTGCATCAGATATGGTAATCTTTTGTGTATAGGGTCGAATTACATTTTGTTTTATGGAAATACATTGAAAGCGAAGTAGATTTTTATTATTTTTTCGTTTGTCATTGGCTATCTTTTCTATCTATATAAAATTTGACATATAACCAGTACAAATTTCAAAAAGCCCGTGGCAACACACGGGCAGTCTACTAGTCCCTAGTAGTGAGCAGGTCACTCAAAAGCAAGCCAACAAGCATAAAAATGGAAAGGAATACTCTCTTCTAAAACTAAAAATGAAATATACTGACAAGAACTATAAAAGGTCTCGTCTTTTAAAGGTAATATCTTTCAAGTCATTGCATCAGTTCCGCCAATGCCCAGGTAAGGATAAAGATTACATAGTTGCGTCTATGTCACTGAAAAAAAATACAAGATAAGGATAACAAAATATAGAACAATCTTGTTGCATCATGGAGCATGGTAGCTAATCAGATGGTGGTGGAACCAGTTCACCGGAGTTGAAATAGACATAGCCCTTCACATCAGGATACGCCAAGAAAGTGTTGTAGATTTTCTTGGTGCAACCTCCAAAGTTATATGCCAGTTGCAGAGTCACTCTGTTAAGCATTGGTGACGATCTGAATATCATTTTTAAGAAATCATGTCCATGATCTTCTCCAGTGAAGCCGACGATGTGCACTTCTTCAAGACGGGTCAACGAGAGACTTTGGCATCTCCAATTCTTTGGCTCGTCACAAGGACAATCTTCCTGGCATGCTCGTCTCCCCTAAAGCAAAAGAAGAGTATTAACATGCATTTTCTTTTTGGTCCAGAGTTGAGGCATTATCTCAACGCTTCCTCATCAAGAAGGAAAAAGAAGATGCAACGTAATGTGTAGGCCTCTCCCAAGGAAAAGAAGAACATGTAATTTGTAATGTGTATGTCTCTGAGAATACAAAAGAAAACATTTACGGTGTAATGTGTACACCTCCCGAAAGAAAAAGAGAAACAAGTACTTTATAATGTGTACCATAATCTAAGACAAGTAATTTGGGTTCAGGGAGAACCATATATAATAGGTATATATGTCTCCCACAAGAAAACAGCATGTATACCATGTTTGCAAAATGTAAAGCAGGGGAGGAGAATTACCAAGATGGAACTTGCTGTAACAAGAAGCCTTTTCATAACGGCACAAATCTGATCCAATCCTAGGAGACGCTGTACAAGTGCTCCGAAAACATGCCCATGCGTTTCAATTAATAGCTTGAGCACAGAGAAGTTGATTACTGGAAGCTTCTTCATCTCCTGCGCAAACTCCACCTCGTGTGCCATGTCTAGATCAAACTCCAATTGATCCTGCAAAAGCAAACAATTTGGCGGGATATCATGCATGAAACGAAACAAACCTTTAAAGGGTATAAATTCAGTACAATGGGTAAGACAGAAAAGAGACGTACAGTGGACGATATCACCAAATAGAGGACATGCACCGAACGCGTGTCTTCCTCTCGCCAGTAGTAACCGTCACCAAAGCGGTATGCTGGCATTAAGGCCATGTGCCCGAGAAGCCAAAAACCAAACAGAAGAGTCGTCTCTGTAAAACCGCGGCTCCACATGACCTCCTCCACCATTGGCGCCGAGATGGACACGCTGAGGTCCGTGTCGGTGTCGAATATCAATTCCAACTGCTTAAGCTTGGGTGTCACAATGTCGATGCTACTGATACATACCTCTTCGTCACTAAAGACATCAAGTGTCTGCAGTGACACCGAGTGGACCTTGATGCCAGATGTAGGCATGATGACTGTGAGCATGCGCAGGCACGGGCAGCGGGTGATAAGGGTGTCAATACCGATGACGCTGGCGCCCCCGAGGGACAGCCTCTCGAGCGCTGAGAACTCGCCTGACGGCAGCGGTGTGAAGCAGATATTGGCGCCCCAGTGGATCTCGAGTGACGTAGCTCGCGGGAAGCAGGGCGGGTGCAGGTCCACCGCTTCCATGTCGCTGTCAAATTGGTAACTGATGCGGAGCTCCCGCGGCGAGAACATCACGACGGCGTCGAGGAGGCAGGCCAAGCGAGCACCGTCGGCGCAGTGGGTCGGATGGATGTCGATGTCGAGGGTGGCGGGCACCGTAGGTGAAGAAGCCAACCGGGCGAGCACGGCCTCGATCTTGATAGGCGCGACGTCCCGGAAGGTGAGATCGGGGAGGCATGTCCAGAGGCCTCGCCAGCGGCGCGAGAGGATGCCGGTGCGCGCGGCGCTGCGAGCGCAGCGCAGGCGCGCGAGGACCAGGAGGAGCATGTCGTCAGGAAGGGTGCTGAGGCGGTCATCAGCTCCTCCGGAGGGACCACGCCGGGAGCGAGCCCGGCGTGGCGGCGGCGAGCGCCGGACTCGACGCCCGGATCTGAGCTCCATCACGCGAAACCATCGCCCACCTCCGCCATGCCTTTACGATTCAGCATCTTCCATGGATCTGTACTTGAGGAACCCTAAGGAAAAGGGTTTTGGTCAAATTCTGTAGGCGAGGAACCCTAGAGAAAAAAGGGTTTGGTCAAATTCTGGAGTGAGGAGCAATTGGATTCTCGTGCCTAGGGCAAACTCGAAGTCCGATTCTCTTACCTGAGTGAAGAAAACTTCGATCCGGCCACCCCCAAGGCGATGAACTCTTGGATCCGACTACAGGAGCCTACTAATCGCCAGTCGAAATTTAGAGTGCTGCGACGGGGTGTGGAATGGGGAACGGTAGCTGCTGCGTTTGGTGGGAAAAAAGAAGAGGGAGGCACTACCATTAACTCGCCTCACTCTACGGTCAAAGCAGAGACGCCTCGTTGCCACTAACCCGAATTAATTAATTTCCTGGCACTTCAGAAAAAGTGATGTACTGCTGATATCCACGTTTATTAAACCAATACATATTTTGAATTTTTTCATGGGACATTTTCAAATATTTGAATTTACACTTATCATCGGCTAGACCAGCTATATATGAATCGTCGATGGTGGTCACGGACTGCGTCGCCCCGATCGGCGCCCACCTCTGCCCGAATCGGTGGCCGCTGACGTTGGCACCCTAGGATCTTTCTCTGTTGTCCATATCACGTTTCAGGGTTTTCGCAGTTGAGGGGTAGGACGCCATGGAGATTTTTTTTTGAAAATGGGGGACTCCTCGGCCTCTGCATCAATAAGATGCATACGGCCACATTTATAAATAAATAAAGTAGTTCAACAATGTCTTGCAGTCTGCAACAAATGATAAGCTGGCTCACAAAGAGCAACAAAAACAAAAAAAAGGCCCAAAAGCCACAACCGGCTGGCATAAGATAGATAGGTAAACTAATCGCCTATCCTATTACATGACCGCCATCCAAACCGGTTGAAGATATCCCGCACTACCATCTCCCACCGGAGAGATCCAGTAACCAAACGCTCCCTGGCCTCCGTCGGAGTGAGTAAGGACCACATACGGATTAGCGCTGTAGCCCGGAATAAAACCTGCAAAAAATGAATAGTTGTTGTTCCGTTAAAAGCCAAATCATTTCTGCAGATGCTCGATGCACGTCATGTGGCGACCCACGTGGATGATGCAGTCCTCTTCGGGGATGGAAGACATGGTGTCGGCGGACCATGCTCTACCATAAATCAAGGAGGAAGACGGAGCAGGAGTTGGCGTAGGAGTTTTGGGAGGACATTGCCTTTCCAACGCCAGTCTGCCGTGTCTGGGAGCAATGTCGTTCTTCGTCATCGGTAGCATCGTCAAGTCAAGTAAATGGTGTTTATCTTTCTGCTAACAAGATGTCTCATGGACGCATGTGTTCGCCGGATCATTCAATCGTCAGGGAGACATCACAGTCATTGAGGACAAAGGCTAATCTGTCCTTGAAGGCCCCCGGTGCTAGTTAAGTGATTTCTCATTTCGTAGGCCAAACTTGTTGATGTGTTGGAGCACTTATATTTCTTTCATTGGTTCATCCATGCCTGGATGAATCTCCTTTTATCTTCCTTTGTTTAATCCCTAACTTGTTGATGTGTGAGCAGAAGGATACTAGGAGGAGCAGCGTCTACCGTACCATTTAATTCTTCCTATTTTGTTTCTTGTTCTATCACAACAGTGATGATATGTGCGTGCACTCCTTTGTCAGCCTATGTAAATGTGTAAATGGGTGATGATGTATGAACAAACTTTAATTTGTATATGCTATGTATATACCTGTGAACAATATAACTTGAATTGTATTGTGTACATAAAGGAAAAAATAGCGCGCTATACAAAATAGTGCCTCCTCTTCAAAAGAATGCTATTAATGTGCTATAGCGCGTCATAGCGTCCTATTAACGAGACATTATGATTTATTTAGCAAGACAATTCTTTACACGCTATAGATTCCTAGTCTCACCGTGTGCTTAAGAGATGGCTTTGACTGGTGGTGTCTTGCTAGATGTGTTTTTTGTACTCCCTCTGTAAAGAAATATAAGAGCGTTTAGATCACTACTTTAGTTAACTAAACGCTCTTATATTTCTTTAGGGGGGAGTAAGTTTTTTTTTTTGAGGGAGTAGCAGAGCTTGGCAGCCTATAAAAATGGCTGAAGTTGTTGCATTTGTCTCACAATGACAAAAAAGAATCAATCTTCAAATCCATTATAGAGCCTGATCACCTCTGCCTTGGAAGACAAAAAAAACATATCTCACAGGTAGTGCGAAGTAGAGGATAATGAGAATTCAGGTGCCTAGGTAGTAGTTGGCACGTACTATAGAAATGTGAAAGAGTATATGTATCCTTGCAACATTTGGTCCCAAGGTTTGAGTCCGTACAGTGAAGAGTTGAAGGAATCAATACTAACGAAACTTGGTGTGATGCGGCGAAACTTGTATAGAAATATCAAATTTCAGTAATATTTTGAAATAAAATCCAGAAATCGTAGAATAAATATATACGCCCATTCCGGCAAAAAGCTCCATATCGCTTGGACCATTGGTTTGAGAGATCTATGCTTTGAAACGTTCAACTTCAAAGTTTTAATGAATTTGAAAGAAACTTCAAAGATCCAAAAGAATAAGAAGTTTTGGTCAAAAGTTGAAGAATACATATTCTAATAATCTGGGAAAGTTTTAGATCACTTGGATCATTGGTTTAAGGGACTCATGCTTCTATACTGTCAGCTTCAGAAATTGATCCGTCGCATGCACATCATGATAACTTGCTTCACTAATCAGAACCAAAGTTTTAGCATGCGCGAATAAAAAAGTGCAATTTTGCCATCGTGTTTACTAATCGTGTACTTCTATATGCTCCTATCCAAACACTAATTGACGTGAATCCCAAGCCACTTCCTAGTTTTTAATCAGAACCAAAGTTTGGGTAAATCTTGTTCAGATCAAGCAGCATGCAAGTGTACATTAGCATAGATTTGCATGTAGTCCCTCTAAATACTTATAAATGTAAAAAAAAATCCCACATTGTCTTTGCACCCAACTTTGTTCAAGCAGATAACTCATGTAGCACCATGCTGTATTTCAGTAAATCTCTTTGAATTTAAGTCCTTTGAAACAAAGAATATTAGCATAAGATACAAACACATTTTATCAACGGGATTTGTGATTCAATGAAATAGAAATATTGACTAAAGCACCAACTTCGTGAAGTGTCTGTTTTGCTTATTTTAAGAGATGCCTTCAACGATCCTGCTATAAGGTGACTGAGCGAAGTAATTGGGAATGTACAACAAAGTAAAACCACAAACATACGACTAAATAAAGTAATTTGAAAGTGTGTTATACTAAGTACCGTGAAGGCCCAAGAAATTAAGAAAGTGTCAGTATTATCAATCATTAATTCTGTTCATAGATGCGATTGTGCCATTCCATCATGATGGTGGTGGTGTGAGAATACTGCACTCGATCTGGTGAGTTGAATAACACGCTGATAAAAAAATGTTGCCATTTTGGATAATACCACCATCTAATGACATGAGGTGCGATGACAATATAAATAGTTGCATCATATAATTATGTAATGTAGTATGTAGTACATGTGTCCATTTGAAAACCAGGTGGCTAAAGAAAGAATAAATTACCTTACCCAAGACGACATCTTTAATCATAACCACGGCTTAAAAGTTGCCTATTCAACGAAAAAAGGTGCAAATATTTGTTCAGCTTCATCAAGACAAAAAAGTACTCCATAATATATTTCCATGCATGCTAGGTTTTTGCTAGATTATATACTTCTTAATAATCAAGTCCCGAGTGAAGAGTTTAAGATTAAGTCTATGATTACATTCATCCCACTTAAGCCTTGAGCAAAGGTAAACACCAAAATTACATATCAACGTATGAGATGCTAGATCAACTCAAAACAGATAGCATCTCTGGACCATCCCATCACCTTACTATGCTCGTTGCTTGTTGCGCCCGATTGCCTTACTAAGCTCGTTGCTTGTTGCTAGTATGAGTCGAAAGCCTGATAAAACTGAAGAATAACGGTGAGATCCTGACACTCTTGGATAGTGCGCAGTTGATCACGACAATGCCATCTTGATTTGCATTCTTCTTGAATTATGTAACTACAGAAAGAATCACACCACCAGCCGGGATATATTCATATATATCAGCTTCGCTGCAAAATTAAGGTTCACCATGTAATGCAACTACAAGAAGCCAACAAGATTCGTGAAAATGCAGCATAACAATAAATCACTTTCACATGCTGTGGTGGAGCACAGGAGTTTTTAACTGTGTCCAAACCATGCGTACGTACCAGCTGTAGCATGGAGTCTTGATGAAGAACTGTGCAGCAGAGGGCAGTCGGCTTATACCGTGCGCCGTCACGGAGACGTGAGGTGCGGAGAGCACATCCACGTGGCAGGGTAGTTTGCTGATGGTAGCGTATAAGCCATTCAACCAAAGGCAACAACTCTTTTCCCGTAAACCGAGAGCCCAGCCTTCGCCTTATGCTTTAGGATTTGTTACATTGATATATTTATAAGCCGAGTGGTCGAAAAATTACTCTAGGCATATGGTGAAACACAACGCAACAACTGTTTTCCTGTAGTGGAAAATCACCGAAACCCTAATATTTATGTTGTATCTATTTGACCCTAATGTGGGGCATATATATGGAGAACATAAGGGGTCAAGGCTTCAAATACAAGATTAATATGAAATAGTTTAAACATATTCGATCTCTATCTTTGAATTCAACTAGCAAAAGAGCTCGTGTGTTGCAACGGGAGAAAAAAACACCACATGCCCCTAACCCAATAATCATGACTCAAGACCCCATCAGGTCCACATCCTTTATATCAACACATGGCCTACCATCTATGTTGCCACTTGTAATTCCACCCTTGCCGATACTGGCCCACTAAAAAAATTGCTCTGTTAAGTGACATAAGCCCTGGTGACGAAACGGGAAATG